CCTCCCCCCAAAAAATGTTTTGGAACTAGAGAGAGTTGGTAGTTGTGGGACATCTTGAAGGCTGTTTTTCAGGCAGGCATAGACCAGCTCCCAAGTTCAGAGGCAAGGGCTGTGCCATCAGTGCACCACTGAACTAACCGTTCACTTGAAAATGGTTCATTCTATGTGAACTTCACTGCAATAAAAATCTAATTCAATCAAAGTCTTTAAATTCCGGTATTTCACGCACATTTGTCCTTTTCTCAAAGGATTAGCATCTGTACTCTGAAGCCAGGGGAGATCTGCTCCACCGTGGAAATCTGGTGGCTGCAACCTTCCACAAAAGAAAGTGACTTTCCCTTTCAACTCAGATGATGCTATAAACCCAGCTGAGAGGAAAATTATCTGGAGATTTTACAGATTCCCCCCACAATGCATTAGGACTGAACAGAGTTAAAGGTTAATCTCAGCTGCTCCCCATCCCCTACTGCAGAAACGGAGCTCCAGAGAGGTTAAACGTGCTAGAAGGACAGCACGTGTCCAGCCCAGAGTCAATCCTGGCGACCTGGCTTTAAGAACATAGAGATTGTTCTCTATGCGGACACCCGCGCAGATGAGCTCAAAGGCTGCCTACAGCCTGAGGTCTCCCTGCACGTGGTCTGGTGGCGCCCGGGCCTGGCTGCATGCTAGGCTCACCTGGGACCTGAAAATATGCTGATGTCTGGGACCCACCCCACACCAGTTACGCCTGGATCTCCAGTACTCAGAAATGCCTGGGGATTTTTTTTTAAAAGCTCCTGCATGATTCTAATTTACAGCCAGGTTGAGGACCACCCACTGTATTTCACCCACTAGTATCTGGGATTTCAATCATCACCTGAAGGTGCCCAGGTCCAGAGAAACAAGATGTCCCTGCACAACCCCTCAGCCAGCACCTGCATGACCACGCAGAGGGTTGTCCCACTTTGTCTACCTCCTGGGCACATCACCGAGGGCTACTAAACATCCTCATTGTTTCTGAATTAACTGCTTGCCTGGATTGTTTCCAGGAAAGATACAGGGAAGCCTCCGGATGCTCAGCCTTTCCCCTTACTGAACTTGCCTTTTACACCCGCGGTCTGTGGGCACAGCGGTCCTTACAGACTCTGAATGTCATCAGGGCCCTACGCTGCTGCATTCAGGGACCCCAACAACTGCGGTCGTGCTGAAGGCTGTTTCTCAGGCAGACATGGACCAGCTCCCAAGCTCAGGGGCGAGGGCTGTGCCATCAGTCAGTGCCCGGGTCCTGACCACAGACACCCCTAGGTGCTCTCAGCCCACAAGACCAGGACAGCTCCTTTGGGTGCCTCAGGTGACCCCATCCCTCAAGCTAGAAGCCAAGAGCAAAGGTAATCATACTCCACAGAGAACAAAACAAAATTCTTACCGAAATATCTGGCTGCAAACGTTCTTCTTTTGCTGGAAGCTGTCGGCAGCATAATGAGGCTGGCAGTCTATGTGCAAATTTCTTGTATATCCTTTTTATAAAGAACCAACCACATCCTCAGGCAGACAGGCTAATTCCTGTTTTCCAGTAACAGATCAGCATCTATAGAAAAGAAGTATATTTAGAATGCCCTTTATCTGGTGTTTTCTTGGATTTTCAACAAGAAGCCTCGCTGTGAGCAATTAGTCCCTTAAATGCAAGTGTACCCAGGGATCATGGAATGGCCTTGGGCAAGTCACAGACCTCTGGGTATCAGTTCCTCGAGTCTGTAAAATGGAACAATAATGAGCCACCCATCAGAGTGAATGCAGGGTCAATGAGATGGTGGGCGAAGAAGGCAACCCCCCGACCCCCGATATCAGATGCTACATTTGATCTTTTCAATCAACTGGCCTGGATTTGCAAAGTTAGCCGTGTTTTCCAGAGCCTTGAAGACAGACAGAAACGATAACCTGCAAACGTGCAGCATGACCTCCAGGATTTCCAGGCCCCTCAGCTGATGTGTATGGCAGTCCTTTAAGTGGAGAGATGGGGGACACGGACCCCACCCCCAGGTGGAGGAAGAAAGTTCCAGCAATACCCCAGGCAGACCCTCACCCTGATACACTGACTGCGAACAGTGCAGCTTCTCATTCTATTTCTGGAACTTCAGCATCATTATCGCATAATTGACAGTTGTGGAAAGTGGAAAAGAAAACTCCCAATTAGGAAACAGCCCAGTGACGCTGATGCAGCCATCAACGGCATTGACACGGCGGTCCTGGCAATCTAAGGGAAAGGCAGCTCCAAGGGGGTGGCATTGTCCCATTTAAATACATACGGAGTTTACAGAGGCAGAGAAGCAGCTCCTGGGGAGACACCCACCAGAATGTTCTTCCAACCACCCTTCTTGTCTCCTTTGCTCCCCTGCCTCTGCTGTGTTGAACTTGGATTGTGTTTGTGATGATAGAACCAGTCACTGTTCAGCACATAAAACAAGCACAGCTGGCACTCACTGTGGGCGTGTCCCTTCCACCCCGGGTACCGGGTACCGGGCTGCTGGACAGCGCTCAGCAGGAGGCGCTCGGGCAGGGGCCTCCTGCTCCCCGCCTTGGCAACCCCATCACAGCTCCTGCTGCTGCTATTCTGAGGGGACCACAGGGGACAGTACAGCGGAGGGGCCAAGCTGTGCTCTGCGGAGGGACCTGGGGCAGCTGAGGGCAGAAGCTGGCAGGTGAGGGTGAAACTGCTAGAGAAGAACAACAAAGCCCCAACCAGAGATGCCAGCATGCCCTCGGGCCCAAGCGAATGGTGGTTTGGCTTGCCAAAGGGAAGCAGGGACAAAGTGCAGAGTGAGAAGAGAGATGGAGCCTGAAGGACGGAAGCAGTGAAGGAGCACAGCCAAGGAGCTAGGGGAGCATCAAGCCTGAGAATTGGGACAGACCTCGGAGACCCTTAGGGACAGGGTGACATCTGCCTGTATCCTCTAAGCACGCAGGACTAGCAGGGTGATGGGGGAGTGGCGTGAGAGGCAGAAGCCCACCACATGATCTAATACAGTAGGGGCTTCAGAATTAAAAACTCTGGGTCCATGTCCAGGTTTTTTCTTTTTCTAGTAGTGTAAATCTGGACATGCAGCTGAAATAGGGTTACCAGATTTAGCAAATAAAAATACAGAATGCCCAGTTATATTTTCAGTGTAAGTGTGTTACAAATATTTCATGGACCATAGCATCTACTATAAAGGTATTCACTGTTGATATTCATTGTTGCTAACTTATCTGATATTCAGATTTAACTGGGTGTTCTGCATTTTATTTGGCAACTTTATACCTTCTGAGTATCCATTTTATCTTTGGTCAAAAGAAGATAATCAGGTAAAAGTCTTTCCATTGCTGGAAACAAAAAAGACAATTAAAACTGGCTTAAAAGATAAGGGGGGATTTTTTTTGGCTTCTTTGGTGGGAAAGTCCTCATGATGTGGACTTCAGGCATGGCTAGATCCAGCAGCTTGACAATGTCAACAAGGGGTTTTTTTTTCCCCCCAGTTCTCTTGTTTGCTTCCTAGGATGTCTGCTTCATCTTCAATGAGATTGCTTTATTATTAAAAAATGCTGGACACCTGCTTCAGAAGCTAATATTTCCTCTATGTTTAGGAGGAAGGAAAAAACATATCTCCTAGTGTCTCTCTCAGGAGTGCTGGTAAGCTTTCCCTCTCTACTTTCCCAAACATCTCTCTCCTCATGGCCTTGACTGGGCAACCAATCCATCCCTGGAACAATCTTGGTGGTTGGGGACTGAGATGTGCTGATTGGCTAAAGCAACCCAGTCTCATCCCAGGAGCTGGGTGCAGTTGGCTTCCACAAGGCACCTTGGCTGGTATAGAAAAGGGGTAGATGCTAAAATAGATACCAGGGCACTATGATCAAGGGGAGGCAAGGATGGTTCCAAAAATGCAATGCCCACTGCAAGTTGCTTGAAGAGTAAGGTAAACGAGGCTGACCCCCAGGTGTGTGTGTGTGTGTGTGTAATATTAGTTCTTCCCCTTGGACATGTTGATGGCTCTTTCTTTCCTAGTCCCTACCCGTCTCCTGGTTAGGGCTATGCCCCAGTCTCAGCTCTGCTATCACAGAACAAAGGGGCCTCCCTGGGAGACAGTGAGCGGGGCCTCTGTCCTGGCTGTGCCACGTGCCTTGGGCAGGTCCCTGACCCCCACTGCCCATCGACATCACAGGGGTGTGAGTATGTGTGTCTGTGAGTGCTGAGGGCAGGATCGTACCAGGAGGGCTCTGGATGGAGAAGTGACCTTCGCTGACCTCAGCCTGCAGCGGGGATGACAAGGCCCTAGGGCGCAGGTATCTGCTTTGGGGAAAACATGGGTAGAAGGGCAGGAATGGTGGGCTCCGCTCTCCAGCTGGGGGAGGACCACCTCAGGGCCGAGGGGCAGGAGAAGGACACCCAATCACCCACCCCAGCCCTGCCCTTGCTTGCCCCTCATCCACCTTTCTGGGCAGTAGCAGGCCACAGCCCCACTAAACTCAGCACAGTAGGGGCACAGCACCCAGGCCTGCCAGGCAGCACCGTGCAGGGCAGTCGTGCAGAGCGAACTGGGGAATGACTCAGCCAGGAGCAGCTCTGGTCGGCACTGGCCACACGGCAGATGGGCTCACCATGGGGATGGGCGCGGGGAACACCAGGTCTTCCTGGACTCGGGCCAGGGTGCCCTGTCCGTGGGCACCACCCTACTTACAGACTTTATTAATAATGACAGCTGGCACTTAGCAGGCACCAACTAGGGACCAAACACATTAACCCGACAGCACCCAGAGGTGACTACTACAGTGGAATTGTGAGTCACCCCAAGTCACACGGTTTAACATGGAGGAGGTGGGGGGGATTCAACGTCAGATTGCTCTGGCATTCACTGCCACTCATTGCCCAAGCTCGGACAAATGGCCCGGGTCCTGGGTCCTGGGCTGGCCCAGCTACACGTTCGCCCTATGGTTCCTCATTTATCCGCCACAGGGCCCCTGGCTGCCAGTGTGTGTGAGCACGGGGCAGAGAGCACCCCGTCACCGGGTGGGCATCTGAGCTCAGGCAGGCGAGGGTGGCCCAGGCTTCCAGGAAAGTTGCCTGGGTGTTGCCCCTCCGGGGTCTGCTCACCTGGTACCGGGGAGCCGGACACCTCCTTCTCCGCTGCCCAGAGCCTGCCTGGGGATCCCTCCTCAGGGCACTGCCTGGAGGGAGCGCTGGGGCTCCCTGCCCCCTCTTCTCACCCCGCGGCGGCCCCGCGGAGGCCTTGGCCCTGCCCCCGGCCCCCATGTGACCAGCGGGCAGGGAAGGCGGGCAGGACCAGGAGGAAGCTGCCCAGGCCGAACATCATCAGTCAGATCCATGCTCCCTGGCTCCTTGGTGCCTCTGGGGATGGTGCGCTGATGGCCCGCGAAGAGGCTGCAGCTGCCCTGGCTCGGAAACTGTTTCCCGGGTGAGGCCGACCTCTGCCAGGAAGGGCTGGGGCAGGGCGGCTCACGGTCGCCGGCCTGGGGTTTGACTTGGTGCAGAGCGCCCCCTGGCGGGCACCGGCGGGCACCGCCTCCCACGGCCCTGGACAGCTGCCTCCCTCTCAGCCCATCCCCGTGTCCCTCAGCCGCCAGCGCCAATTCGCCCCATCCTCACCTGTAGCCTCACCTTCCCTGGGGCCATGAGAGGCTCACAGGGTGAGCGGGATTCCTGAGGCTTCCTATACTGTCTTCCTCCGTACTGTCTTCCTCCAAGCAGCCGAAATCCGCGCAGCTGAGCCAGTCCTGTCCTAAGTACGGGGAGGAAGTTGGGGCTGGAGAAGTCATTAGCGGGGGAGGAGCCCTCAGGTTGCAGAGGGAGGAGCTGAGCCACTCTCCAAGATTCCAGCATCGCCCAAATCTCCGCACTCTGTGGAATGGGAAACAGGTCAGAAGGGTTCAGAGCATTTCCCAAGGTGGCAGGCTGGGCCTGGGTAGTTGCTGGCACAGGTAAGGAGGCACACGTCCTGCTGCAAGCCCAGAGCTCAGGGCTCCTAAGGAGCAAGGTGTAGTGTCCTGCCCTTGGACCTTCCTACCGAGGACTCGGAAAGCACAGAGTAGGTCTTCTCTGCGCTTGCGCGGAGGAGGGCTACTCCTCTGTGCAGGTTGCTGGCGGAGGCGGTGGAGTCGACCAAAGTCGAGTTAGAGTCCGGCCGTGGACACTTCTTAGCTGGGTCACCGGGTAAGTTACACTCTCTCTCTGCACCCCATTCCTCATCTGTAAAATGGGGATAATAATACTGCCGACTCCGGGCTCTGTGAGGATCGAGTGAGGCAAGTCCTGCAAAGAGCCCAGCTAAGTACTCAGAGCTAGTCTTCACGTCCACGATGCAGCGGCACTTCATAAAGGCCCAGGAAGGGCTCTTTCCCTCCCCCTTCCTCCAGCAGCAGCAGCGGTGCTAACCGGGCAGTGCTTAGTTCTCAAACTGAGATTTCTGCAAAATTGAATAAATTCTGCATTTTAATTTAACACGATAAATAAAAAGTAAGCTCTATGTAGAAGGTGAGATGACGGCCATAGAATCAAACAGCCCCAGGTGATTTTAATGCTGGAGGTTCATGTTTGTGTTTAAAATCAAATTGACAGCAGGTGGCAGAGAACGTGCCTGTCAGTGTTTTAGCACGTTGGACCTGGTGAAGTGGGTCTTTGGGGGAGCCAGCAGCCAGATTGTGGCTGCCTCTTGGGAAAATTTTCTGGGACCTCCCCGGTTACCAGGTTGGAACCCACAGTTTTCACCAAGAATTGGTTACCACCAGTAAGCCGACTGTCTTCTGTGGAGTTAGGGTCCTGTGTAAGGGCTTGGGAGCCCCCAGCTATCAGGGTGGCCACACAGTAATCCTCTGGAGGCCGTTGCTCAATGAGCCATTGAACCCAGCAGTCACAAATTCAGCCAGAACCACTCTATAGATTACCTTTAATTGAGAGTTCTTAGCAACGCTGTTTTGTTTTTGTAGTTGTTATAAGTTATAAGCTTTGGAAGGCCACCTATTGTTTTATGTGTGTAAATATTGACATTGATGCTGGAGCCCAGGGATTGTTTCCTGCCTTCTTTTAAACAGGACTTCCCATTATTGGGTAAAAGAAACTAATGTGGGTACTGAGCAATCATGACTGTAATTGGCAACTATGGCCACAAGATGGCACTCTCCGCACACCGCTTCTGGCATTACTGGCTTTTCCAGCTGCGCACTGCCTCCAGTCTGAGGAGGCCCTTCCAGGGATGAGGGGCTTTGTTGGTCCCAGGGGGTTCAGGGGAGCCTCCTGCACAGCACCCATGGGAAGCACATATTTCTTGAGGATTCAGGGCTGGAAATAGGATGAAGGCAAATAAGGCATCCAAGGTGCAAATTTTAAGTAGGCAGTGAGGGCCTCACTTGCCTTGTCCCCGTCCAGGCCGTGGGGCATGGTCCCTACGACTTTAGGAGAGAGGAGGATGCTTGACCCAGCTCTCTGGTCAGGTAGGACCCTCCTACCTGGGGCACTCAGGCCCCTTGTCTCCCCCAGAGGGTCCAGCCAGGATGAACAGCTGTACTTTCTGGGAGAAATGGACAAGGCGCTGCCCGCTCCCCAACCCCACCTGGAGTCAGAGGCAAGTATGAGGGTGCAGGCCAGCCACGGAGAGGCCAGCGGGGTGTGGTGGCCACCCTGGAGGCCCCTCTCCTGCCTGCAGCTTCAGCTTGTCTGGCTCCCACTGAGATAGCGGGGAGCAGCTGTGCTCCAACAGAGGCACAGAGGTCCTGCACCTGCGGCAGGTGTGTGTCCGCCGGGGGCCTGGGTCCTTGGTGGGCCAGCAGTGTGGCCCCTGGGAGCGGGGTGAAGAGAGCTGATCCAGGGAGAAGGCATGGCATGCCAGGTGAACAGGGGATTGAAGAAACTGGCAAACATTTTGGTAAGTCTGAATTGTCATTATGCAGAAAAGAAATGAGTCATGAATTAATATGGGGGGCATGAAGGACGGGGTGGAACTAAAATCACATGTGACACAGTAACCAATGCTGAACACAGTCACGTGATGACAAGGTTGGGGCAAATCAGAGCACTCAGACTCCTGGGTACTGGGGCTCTGGTTTTAGATGAGCTCCATCCAGTACAGAGCCAGTGCGAGCCACCTTGCAAATTAAAACCTTTTGTAGCAGTCACCTTGAAAAAAGAAGCTGGGGAAATTAGCTGAATAATATGTTTCATTTAATGCAATATATGCAAAATTTTATCATTTCAACATTTAATCAACATAAATATTATTACTGTAACATTTTATATTCTTTTTTATACTGTCTCCCAAAATCTGGTGTGTTGGTTACATTTATTGTACATCTCAAAGTGGATGCTAAACTTCCATTGGAAATATTTTATCTTATATTGAGATTTCACAAAATTTAGAGTTGAAAGAGATGATTCACCTACCCAAATTGTTCCAAACATCTGTAAAAGCTTTTTAATAACTGTGTTGTGTAGCAGTTTTAAAATGTAAATTAAAATCAATTAAAATGAAATGGAGTTGTTTGGTTGATCCCATTTTAAATGCTCAATGGCCACAAGAGGCTAGCAGCCCTACTGTGTTGCACAACGTAGCACTTGACTTTTTAAAGTCAAGCATGCAGGTTAAAATTTTAAGAGTAACAAGTAATGAATAGAAGTAGGATGTATAATTTTCAAACCAGTAGAGGGAGATAAAAGGAAAAAAAAGATAACTTAATAAATTCAAGAAGAGGAAGAAAGGAAGGAAAAAACCTTAAAAGGAAAAATCATGATAAATGAAAAGACCAAAGAAGAAAGTAAAAAATAGGTATAAATATACCAGTAGAATCATGGTAAATGTAAGCAGATTAAGCTCACATATTTAAAGAAAGATTGCACTTACTACTATATATAAGACAGATAAATAACAAGTTTCTTCAGTATAGCACAGGGAACTCTATTCAATATATTGTAGCAACCTATCATGAAAACAAATATATGTATGTATACGTATGCTGTACACCAGAAACGGACACAACATTGTACACTGACTATACTTCAATTTAAAAAAAACTCGAAGAAAAAGAGATATTTAGGTTTGACTTAAAAACTCAAATCATAATTGTTTGCCTAGAGAGATACCTAAAACACAAGAGCCGAGAAATATTGAAAATAAATGAATTGAAAATGATACACAGTCAAATAGGAGCTAAAAGAAAACTTTGTAGTAATATTAATATGAGATCAGATAAAGGAAGAGGCTTTATTGAGGGTAAAGATTGTTTTTACAAGTGATAAAAGGAACAATTCACAGAGATACAAAAGTCTTGAATCTATACACACCCAAACAACAAAGCCTGAAAGGAAAAAGACAAGCAAACGCAGACCTATGATGTAATGAGGAGAAACGGACAAATGCATGACCTTCGTGGCAATGTTGTGATGATACTCTCAGAAGCTGACAGAGGAACAGAACAATAAGAAATTCATCAAGAAGTACTAATAAGCAATAAGCAAGCTTGATACAATAGATACACAGAGAAGTCTTTGATCGTGCGACGTTTATAGAAATTGAGCACGCATCATTTCACAAAGGAAGGTTCAACAAATAAACACTAGAGAATCCACATTATTCAAAGTTCTCTAATTTCAACACAATAAAATTAGACATTAATGACAAAAAAGACAGGTAAAAATAAAAGTATTTCTGAACACTGAAAAACATCGTGAATTTATGTCTCGAAGGAATTACTGGAATTATGAAATATTTAGAATTGGACGCAACACAAACACCTTGGAAGACTTATAAACAGCTAGTGTGATACTTTGAAGGAAGTTTAGGACATTAAATACGTACATTAGAAAACAAAAAAGCTGCAAATTAGCTCAGCATCAACTAAAGACATTAAGGAAAAGACAACATGTGACGACAGGTTTCTTTTCTTTCCAAGTTCAGCTTCGAAGCGGGTTGGAGAAATGGGTTCTCCATGCTCTATGCGATTTCTAACTGCTGGGGGTCTCCAGGGCTCAGGCCTGCGCTCTTTCTCTTGTGCACATTCTCTCCAATTATCTTACTTATTTCTACAGTTTTAAAATATCATCAGATGAGTCCCAAATTGATGGCTGCAGACAGGGCCTCACCTCTAAGCTGCAGGCTTCCTTTTCTGACTGCCGCCTTGCCCTCACTGGTTGGCGTCTCAAACCTAACGCGTCTAAAACTGGTGCCCCAACCTCTCCCAAGCTTGCTCCTCCTCTCTGTGTCTGTAAGTGTTACTGCTTTAAGCAGAAAGAGCTCATTTGTTTTTAACTGAAGTCCAGTCAGTTTATAATGTTGTGTCAACTTCTGGTGTACGGCTTAATGTTTCAGTCATACATGTACATGTATACATTCATTTTCATATTCTTTTTCATTATAGGTTACTACAAG